ACATGGAATTTCAAGTGAAAGAATGAGAACCAGAGATGGTATCTGGGCATCACTGGCTTTGAAGGTGAAGGAATGGGCCATGAAGGAATGGGTGGACTCTAGAAGATGGATGGACAAGGCCCAATAACTTGATTTTAGCCCAGTGAGACTATTTCAGACTTCTGACCTCCAGAACCTCAATACATTTCTATTGTACTGTGTGTGACCTTTTGTTTTTAAAGTGATAGAAATCTAGTGGGGTTATCTGAGATCCAGCCTTCTTGACAAGTAAGGCCATCCATGAAAATAGTGCTTAAGTTTTAAGAGTTCTTTGTCATCCTTTGCAAAAACAAGTGCCTGGTTCAGATTCCCATTTCTCTTTCCATCCTCTCTCTCAGCTTCCTCTAACTATCAGCCTGGCAGTCAGGATATCTTAATGTGTCATGGTGAGATGAAGGGATGCAAATAAATGTTATTTTAAATCACAACCTGGACAAGTTTCTGGTGATGAAACAGGAAGTGAAGTTTTCATTGAAGACTCTTTCCTATAGTCTTACACATAACCTATACCAAGGCTGAGCATGTGTGATGAACATCTGTGAACATCTGTAAACCCTCATGGGCTCCTCCTCCTCCACCCCTCAGGTGGAAGGATAAAGGATATTCTCAGCCACATAGCACTCACTGTTCTTTTCAGGCTGAAGTTTTGTTTGGATTACTTTTAAAAAAAAAACCCATAACCTCTATCATAGTGTTAAAATGGCTATCAGGCCTACCAACAAGCCCATTTTGACCTTTATGTACATCAGACAATTGAGACTCTGCCAGGCTGGAACCTGTTCTATTCTGCAAGTTGACTATGGTGCTTTGTTCTTAATAATGTTTACAGAAGGCAGGATTTTCCTGGCTTTGGTCTCCTGGGGTGCTATTTTGCGTCATTTCTACTTTGTGATTTTTACAAAAGATCCAGAAGACCTCTCTTTCCTCTTACAGTCCTGATCCATTTGTGAGAGATTAGAGTCAGGCCAAATATCTGGCTTGTGTTCTGGTCCATAACTGAAGATGTTAGCTGCTACCAAACAGAACTGCTTTCACTCATGCTCAACTCTTTGCCCAGATCATGACAGCCTACCGCTGTCACTGAATACTCATCCTTAGTATTTTGAGCTATCACTTTAGCTCCAACTTCAACATGAAGTTGGTGCGTAGTGATTTACATTGCAATCGTTAATTCCATGCATACATTTTGTCTTTCTACCTTACTTTTTGTATCAATTTATGTTCTCAAAAGTTGAAACCCTATTACTGATGGGATGATATTGTGATGTAGGGAGTTGAGAGGTGATTAGGTCATGAGGGTGAAGTCCTCAAGAATGGGATTAGTGCCCTTCTTAGACAGGCCCCAAAGAGCTGCACCAATCCTTCTACTACATAAGATGCAATGAAAAAGAGACATTTATGAACCTGAAGTGGGTTCAGACATTGAACCTCTTCAGACCTTGAAACTGTCTTTTCTTTTCCGGTGGACTTCCATCCTCCACAACTTGGAGAAACAATTTTTTATTGCTTATAATCTAACCAGTTTGTTGTTGTTGTTGTTATAGTAGTCTGATGGAATAAGATACAATCTAACCAACAAGTTAGATGCTCAGATGTGCTATCAACCAGATACTTTGCTCTCTGGACAGAATGGGAGCGAACAAAGCTCGAGAAGTTTCTTCCTCAGTGGAGAAGGAAATAAAAATGCAATTTAATTGTTATGGTTTGAATTAAGTGTCCCCCAAAGCCCTACGTGCTAAAAGCCTGGTCCCCAACCTGTAGCACTACAGGAAGGTAGCAAAACCTTGAACAGGTGGAACACAGTGGGCGTTCTTCCAGCCGTTAGGGCATGCCCTTGAAGCACATGGTGGACTTGCTCTTTTCTCTCTCTTTTGTGTCCCAGTCACATGAGGAACTTTACTGCTCCGCCCATGCCTCCTATCATGATATGCTGCAGCACTGCAGGCCCCAAAGAATGAGACCAGCTCACTGTGAACCACAACCTCCAAAACTGTACCCTAAAACAGACCTTTTGTAAGTTGTCTCAGATACTTTGGTACAGTAAAAAAAAAAAAAAAGCTGGCAGAAAATAAATATCAATATATCAACAGATACTGCACTCACACTCAAAATGACAGGATAACTAACAAAAAACCCTCTAGATTAATAAGAGTATTTAACATGTTGACCAATAGTACAAATAATGGAATAGCCCTCTACTGTAATTATAAATGATAGTTTAGGGATGAAAAGAATATTTGAGAGGAATTCTGAAAAGATGAGCATGGAATCGCAACATAACAAACCTTATGCCATTAGTAACTAAAATAGGCCAGGAGCCAAGGACTCACCCCTGTAATCCTCAGTACTCAGGAGGCTGAGACCTGAGAATTGAAGTTTTAAGGCAACCCAGGTAAAGTCCATGAGATTCTCGATCTCCAGTTAACACCCAAAAAAATGCTGAAAGAAAAGTGGCTCAAGTGGTAGAGTGCTGGTCTTCAGCACAAAAACCCAGGGACAGCATTCAGGTCCTGAGGCCAAACCCCAGGACTGGCACAAAAAAATAAAGTAATAAAGTAAGTAAATAATGGATTATTAACCAAATTATAAAATTGTATGAGCCCATGTTGATATGAAAGTAAGTGACTAAGCAGATAACTAAGCAAGAGTGGCTCTCCCATGCATAAGAATTCCAAATCATTCACAGAGATATTCCATCTTCAAGTGGTTTTGCCCATTTTCCTTCTATCAAGTCTAGTCTGGACATGAGGGCAGAGTGGGAGGTGATCTGTGGACAAAGCTGACATACCCTACCTCAGCCACATGATCAAGGCTTTAACACCCATTGTGGTAAGTCAATATGAAAGGATTAAAATGGTACTTTGCCTCCATGATTGCCCCCCCCTCCAGCCAACACACACACACACACACACACACACACACACACACACACACACACACACAAAATCATGAGTAAAGGATCAGTTAAGGGATAGTCTACAAAATGCTTAGCCAGAGCTCTTTAAGTGTACCAAGATAACAAAACAAATCTGGAAAGGTGCCACAACTCAGAGTTGCCCAGGGAGACCAGACAATTAAGTAGAGTCCGGTATCCTGGATGGAATAGATTCTTGGAACAGAAAAGGGTATTAGGTGAGAATGAGAAAAATCTGAGCCAAGTGCTGGGCGTGAGGACTATATTCCATTTGCAATTTTTGAAAAATGAATTTTTAACTTAATCTAGTACAATACTATGTGACTCTATTATTTCTACTATTGGTCAGCATTTTAAATCTTACCCAAGAATAATAGTACTAAAGCAATATGTTTTAATATTAAAGAGGAAAGGAAAAATGAGAAAACATTCTGACAATGTTAGTCTTTTTGGCATCCCAGAAGCAATATGGAGCTGCTTCTAAAATAATAATCCCTTATAAGAATCAGGATTGGAAATAGCAGCATCGGCCCATCATGGAAGCTTTTGTTTTCCTCCTGGCTGTTTTCTTGGTCTCAACTTCGAACTTAACCATGCATTGTTTCTATTTTGAGGCTAGAACAGGAATAACAGAGAAAATTAATTTCCTAGAGTAAAGCCAAGGTGTTTGTTTTTAAATGTGAAATAGGAGATTTCAACGAACACACAACTGTCCTTACCAGTTTCTATTACAATTCCCCCAGCCTGCCTGTCAGTCTGAACTCGCTTCTTTCTGTGTGCTCAGAGAAAGAAATGAGCCTAATGATGCCAATGAGTGTTTCAAAATCGCCTAAATGTTTCACTGGGGAACTTTGCCTTTCTGATTTGGCACATTCCTTTATGACCCTTGCACCCTTGCGCCCATCCCCTGAGCAGTGATAACTTGTGTCATGAGCAGGTGAGGAAAAATCGTGGCATTGTGACCGATGATGTTCATCTGGAAGGTTAAGTCTTATAAGTATGAAATCACCAGAACCTAAATATCAAGTGTAAGTCACTTTAGAGGGGGAAAAAAGTGTGAGAGATGGAAAGGAAGAACAAAAGGGGCGGGGAGGAGAAAAAAAATGAAAGGAAAAGCAAAAGCCAGACGTTGAGACTTTGTCATTGAAGGATCGACTGTAATCTCCTGCATTTTCTTAAAAAAAAAAAAAAAAAAAAGTGTAACGCTAAGAAACGCATGTTAAGGCATCCATGAGTTTGGGCTGCGGGGAAAGCCTGCTGGAAACCCTCCGGCCAGCCTGGCTTCGGGACTCCGCTGTGCTGTCCCCCTCCCGCCCCGGCCAGCTCGGCGTCCCGGGTGCAGGTGGAGGGGGGCAAAGCAATTCTGGCCCCACAGCTCGACCTTGATCCCCACCCCCACCCCCGCCCGGCCTCACGAGTGCCCCGCGCGTCCCCCCACCCCTGCCCGGCCTCACGAGTGCCCCGCGCGCCCCCAGCTCACTCGGGACCCTGGGGAGCCAGAATCCCTCTTCCCGCCCCCCACCAGCCCCCCTCCGCCCGCGGGCCCCGGGCGATGCCATCTTTCCAGAGTTCCCCGCATCTTCAGGAGTAGGTGGCGACCTTTGCATTCGCATCACGTCCCTGAGTCTTTCAAACTTCCCCCAACTTTACGAGAGAGAGAGAGAGAGAGAGAGAGAGAGAGAGAGAGAGAGGAGACAGACAGACAGACAGACAGACAGAGACAGAGAGAGACAGAGACAGAGAGAGACAGAGACAGAGAGACAGAGAGAGAGTCCGCTAAGTGGGGAGCCCTTGATTTTCTCGAACTAGAACGATCAAACAAGCAAACGACCACGTAGGAGAACCCCGGGACCCCGGCCCCTCCAGCCCGCGCCCGCTGCGCTCCAAACACCCAGCGCTGCCCCGAGCCGCGCGGGGAGCCGTCGGGGAGCACCGCGTCGTGGGCTGGGGGGGGGGGGGAGGGACAAAGATGGGGGGGTGGAGAGAGACTGACCCAAGCCGGGGGTGGGGGTGGGAGAGGGGTGTAGGAGGTACCCGAGCAACTTACAGCCCAGGGCGACCACCAGGTAGCGAAGGAGCAGCAGGAGGAGGCGGCGGCGGCTCCCCCTCGCCATCTTCCCGGGAAGGCTGCAGGCTCCACGCGGAGGTCGAGGGGTTCGGGGCGGCTGGAGTACCGGAGGCCGGGCGGGAGTGGGGTGGGGTGGGGGCGATGCTGAACTCTTGGGGAGTGGGGGGGTGGGGTGGATAGAGGCGGGTCTTGCTGGGATGTCAGTTTCCCTGGCTGGGCTGCTGGCTCAGCTGGTCTTCCAGCCCTGGGATGGGAAGTGGGAAGTAGGGGTGTGGTGGGGGGGGAGCGGCGATCTGGGGCGATCTTCTTAAGAGTGGAGGGGCTGGGGCGTGGAAGCGGGAGCAGGTGTCCGCAGGGTCCTAAGTGAGGGGGCAGCAGGAGGCCAGCGGCGGGAGGGAACGCGCAGCGGGCCCCCCCCCCCCCCGCCCCGGCCCCGCGCCGCCGCCGGGATTGATCGGCTTTGTGTCTGGTCCCGCGCGGGGCAGCCAGCTGTCCCCGGGGCGCGGAGCCCGGGGGCGATTGGTGGCGGGGAGGGGGCGGTGGGGTGCGCGCGCCAGTGGGAGAGTTTCCCTTGCCCTGTGTCCCTCTCCTTCCCCCTCGCCTCCATCTCCCCCCCCCCCAAAAAAGGGGGGACAAGCCCCCACAAAACTTCCTTTTCCAGCCTAGGAGATGTTTGGGGTTGTTTTGTTTTTGAAATGTAGTGTCTGGTGGATGAAACCGAGGAGGGAAAACCTGCTGGATGGAGATGAACTTCGCCAGGAGACAAAAAATAAGTTTGGCCCTTTTAAAAAATAAAAGGCAATTTTTGTCTCCAGCTGGAAGTCAGGTCTCAGAGTTTTAGCCCCAGCGCTGGCCTCTTCTTTGGCTACACTTTGTGCTCGGGGAGCGTTAAAGGTGTCCTGTGTCTCCCCCCCCACTCCCACCCCCAAGTCAGAGATGGAAGTTCAGGGAACGGTGTGAAATATTTATCGTGTTTCTCTCCAGTTACATAACTGCTACCCGTGGAGTTTTCCACATGTTAAAACTCCACAGCTGCCCTTTGTCAGGTTTATTTTTGGTCTACTGTGCTTTTAAAAAGGAAACCCATTATGAACGCTCTGTCGCGTCGCGTGCTTTAAAATTGACGGCCGCTGGTGTTCGCTGCCTTACAATGGCTAAACAAAGGCGATTTCCCCCCATTTACTCGTAGGGACCAAAAAGAAGAAGAAAAAAGTCTGGTCCCTTCAAAAGAATTGACAGATCTAGGTAAAGGCCATTCCCAGGAGAAGGACTTGTTACAAACCAGTGCGTTAGTGTAGAATAATGCGTGAAGTCCTGGATTGAGGAGAGGTGATTTAGTGGTCCACACATAAAGAATTCAGCCGGCCCTGCGGACAAAGGCAACCGGAGTTTAGACGTGCGGAACAGCGAGGAATGAGGCATCCTTACCGTTGCCTTGGCAACAGCAAGGAAAGCCCAGTCCCCTTGGGCAGGGGCAAGGGTGCCAAGGCCTCAGGAAGTCCTGAAAAGAAAGTCAAAAATGGCAAAAGATGGAGTGCCAGCTAGAGACCGGGGCGGCGGGGGGAGGGGGGGGGGGCGTAGACTTCAGGACAAGCTAATGCCGGTTACTCCAGGAGGTCACCAAAAAGCTGTAACACTTTAAAAGTTGTTGGTGTCTTGTGTGTGTGTGTGTGTGTGTGTGTGTGTGAGAGAGAGAGAGAGAGAGAGAGAGAGAGAGAGAGAGAGAGAGCGTGTTTCTTTTCCTTTCCTTTTCTTTCTCTCCTTCTTTTCTTTTTTGTTTTTTGGTCTTCCCTAAAGACACAGGGTGGGGGTGGGGGTGGGGCGGGAAGCATACTTTAAAACAAAATTACTCTGTGACATTTTTTGAGCAATTGGCTCTTTCATTTATTTACCACCCACCCATGGCTACAGTGACTCATTTGGGACAATAAGTAATGAAACTGGAGCTCTGCCATTGATAATATCACAGTCTGCCTCACCCCCCCCCCCCCAATTCCCTCCCACCACCTTTTCTGTCTTTTGAGATAGGGTCTCACTATGTAACCTAGACTGGGCTTGAATTTACTACGTGGTTCAAACTGGCCTCCAACTCCAACTTGCCTCCCAAGTACAAAACTCACAGTGATAAACAGGCCAAAAAAAAAAAGAGAGAGAGAGAGAAGGAGAGAGAGAGGAAGAAGGGAAAGGGGAGGAATCTAATCTAGAAAAAAAGTATATCATGTGTTAGAGGAAGACAGAATAGAACAACTTTTTCTTTTGTGTTTCTCAGTGGTAGAATTTTTTAAAGGTAATATTTAATTCCCCAAGGAAGTGGAGCTGTGGCTAAATGGTAAAGGGCTAGTTTTGAGCAGGCCCAGAGTTCAAGCGCCACAACTGACAATAAAAAAGGGAAAAATCTTGTGAAAATCCAGGCATGGGTGGCTTATGCCTGTAAGCTATTCAGGAGGCTTGAATTCTGGAAGTTTCAAGTCCAGTGTTGTGAAATTGTATTTACAGCAAGGATTCCGATTGAATGGGACCATTTAAAGGCACTGAATAATTACAGAGGCAGAAGAAGCAGAGAAAGTAAAGGAGATCAATCATGGGGAAAAGGTGAATATTTATCTGTGAATAAATCAAAAGACATAACTGACATAAGAGCTAGAAAAAAAACACAAAACAGTAAGCAAACAAGTAGGGAAGGGATGGGGAATGAAGCAGCAGCTCAAGAAGTATTTTCCAGTGCTTGAGGGGAGAGGGGAGGATTGAAAATGTTCTCCCCAACTGAATAATTATGGGGATACTGAAAACTTGGATTCTAGAGAAAATAAACCTCCAAAAACTTGTAGTAAAATAGACATGTTCTATACTTGGTGAAGCAACCAATGCTTATGGTAAAGAAAACAGAAGATTATTGACACTTGCTAAAGATGGTAAGGCAGACTCTATTCAACAGGGGAGGCAATGACAATAGGTGTGGAGACCACTGTATTGGGTCTTGCAGTGAGGAGAGAAATTGGAATTAATTCTGACTCTAACAAAGGCAAGAAGGGTTTTACCACGCAGGAGCAGGATGATGAGACAGGGCATGGAAAGTTGCCAAGAGGAAACATGAAAGAGAAAGGCTTTCTCACTAAACTGACTTGGCAGATTTATTGCTGAAAAATCAGCCAGGGTGTTGGAAGATCAGGGTGGTCAGATACCAAGGGTGGGGCATTTCTGTTAAACTGGGCTCATCAGAATGCTGCCAAGTTCTACCAGAACAAAGAAAGAAGCCCACAGCCAAGTTTGGCCTAGTGAAGGAGAAGCCTCAGGAAATCCAGGAAAGTTTTGGACTGACCCAGTCTTTGTCCTAACAACATAATGCTTAAGAATCTTTAGCGACAGGGTGGTGAAAGGACTAACAGTCATTGATGTTGCTTTATTAATGAATGGGTAAGAGTTAGTTTCATAGTTGTTTTGGCATTAAGGGAGCCTTGGGCAGCATCTGGGGAGAAATATCACAGAAGTCCCTTGAAACTCTGTGCTCAGTGGTCTTACTGTTCCCACCACCACCTGCCACTAGGTTGTTTCTCTCCCCTCCAGAAAACATAAGTAAGGGTTTTGGAATACATTACCACTTTTTATTCTTTGCACCCACTCTAATTCTCAATTCAAAATAACATTGAGGAGGTGTGGAGGCACCTCTCCTAAAACAAGTATCTAAAGAGAGGGCTGGGTTTAACCTGACTTCTCACAGCATCTCAGATCTGGTGGATCTGTGTTGGCTGGGTTATTTTCCCTCGTGGGTGTGGAGAAGGTTCTGCCAAGTGCACCCACATGCTGCCATTCAGGGAAGGGAGAGGAAAAAAAACCTTCTATTTCCAGAAGCACAAAAAGTCTCAATTGTTCTACAATAAATGTTCAACTCCTGTGGATAAAATGTAAAGGCTTTAATGAATTTCTCTTTATTTAGTTTGGCTTGCTTTTTGTTATTATTTCCTCACATCCTTTTCTGGAACCTTCCTGATTTCAGCAGCATCCATCCATCATGATGGGTCCATCGGCACATTCATGTTCATGTTCCCTCCTGGGGTCTGGAAGTTTTAAGGTCCTGCAAAGGTTAATGCATAAGTGCTTGTTCCTAACCCTTCCCCCCAAGATAATGCCTTGAGCTTTAAGAGGTGGGACTTAATGGAAGGTCTCTAGGTCATTGGGGGTAGACTCATAATGGGGGAATTCTCTCTGTCTCTTTGTGTCTGTGTCTGTTTCTTGCTCCCCCCTCTCTTTCCTCTTTCTCTTTCTCTCTGTCTCTCACTCAATGTAACCACTAACTTTCTCTAAACATATGCTCCTGACAGGAATCTGGCCACCATAAGGTGATACAGACAAGGAACAGCCACCAAGCCAACACTATATTGTCTAGATGGTCAGCATAAAAAATGGTGAACTAAACAAAACTTTTCTTTCTATAATTTAGCAGCCTCACGTATTTTACTATAATAATGCATACTAGTCCACATCCCAATGCTCTTTTCCAGGCAAATACATCTGTTCAGAGAAGCTCATAGTATCTCAGGCATGAAGTTTCTGTTATTCTCCTAACCTTTCTTTTGGTACATTGTAACAATACAGTACTCAAAATGTATCATGTGGAGGAGGGGAACAACTTACTTGCCTTACTTGGTTCTAATTACTATAAGTAGTAACATTCTTTCCTGTTCTCTGCTGTTAAAGTGCTTAACATCATGAATCCTACCTTCCAATTAAGTGAGCTTCACTATCAACCAGTGACTAAGCCATCCAAACTTTCTTTCTTTCTTTTTTCTTTCTTTCTTTTCTTTTCTTTTTTAAAGTCATTTACCTTGAATGAATAGCTGGATTCTTCACTGAGGGATAATTATCAATCTTATAGGGAGTAGTCATGAAAAATATTTTTAGTAGAATTTCCTTAGGGGATGAACTTATATATGGCAAATATTAGCCAGTGTGAAAGAAAGGTAGACAGCATCCATTAGTCCACAGGTATGGAATCTTAACAGCTACAATTCAGAGAAAACAGGAATAATCCCCATCCCCTCTACCTATCTAGCATTATCCTCTCTATCAGGAAAATAAAGCCCAAACTTGATCAATCCCAAAAGTCATTA